CTAAACAGGATCCTACCTGACCAATCCTGGGGTTTAAAGGTTTACCTTCAAACCTACCTATGATTTATGACTTTTATATATGCATACCTATTTGTTAACTCCCTGTCTCCTCCCCCCATTTTCTTGTGCCAGTGTTGGAGCTTGAACTCAGAGCCTGGGTGCTGTCCCTCCAGTGTTTTGCTCAAGGCTAGCATTCTACCACTTAAGCCATAGTTCCACTTCTGGCCTTTGGGTGATTAATTAAAGATATAGTTCATGGACTTTACTGCCCTGGCTGGCTTCAAACTGCAATCTACAGATCTCAGCCTCTTGAGTAGCTAGGATAACAGATGTAAGCTACTGGCATCTGGCTCCCAACCCCATTTTAACCATAGTCCATACCCCTGAACACTGCAAACAGATGGCTACAGATGGGTTAAAAGGTTGCCTTCTGGCACCATGTTTATGCCATGTGCCACATCTTTCTTTCCCATATTTCTTCCCTAATAAACTTTTCTATCACTACACAAAAAAAAGTTCACCATTTCAGAGTTGTTTTAGTTTTCTTTAGAGTCACATGATTAATGAAATTCAAAATTTGCTCAAGATCAATTCTTTGGTAAAAACCCATAAAACCATCTAAATGAAAAAACAGACTTTATTTCCCAATCAACATTAGTCTGCTTTATAGTATTGTTCCTCAGACTGTCAAGCTCAGCAGATCGCTGACCTGGAGACCTCTGCTCATTTTAACTGCACTGTTGCTCAGTATTAGGAATGCTGCCTAACATGTGAGAAATGCTAGAGAGATATTGACTGAATAAATTCATTTTATAATCATATTTAACAAAAAAAAGAAAAAAGACTATAGAGTGCCGCGGACCGGGTTCTGTCGGGACGACGGAGGACACCTAGGGGAGGAACCTGGAATAGGATGGGGAGATGGCAAACAGACAACTCACACACATTAGGAGTGGATGCTGAGTGCTGAGTGCGATTTAATGCAGAGGATAACATACTTTTATAGCAAAAATCTCCATAAGAAAGGGCAAAAAGTTACATAATCTTGCTGCAAGGCTTCATTCTTGGATGGTCACCAGCTGGTCGCCTGAAAGGGCAAAAGTTTACACAATCTTGCTGCAGGGCTTCATTCTTGGTTGGTCACCAGCTGGTCGCCTGAAAGGCACTTGTTTCCGGCTTATCTCTAAGAAATATAATGGGTTTCGACTTTGTCACCATCTAACCATTACCTTATTTCTATAGAGGCCTTAATTGTCCCATAAGATCTTTCCTGTTCCTTCTTTAATAGCAAGGTCACGGAGGCCTAGATCTAGCAAGTCTCTTAGTAAATGAAAGAGAGTAACAGGAAGTTTTCTCCTAAGTAGTTATCTCAGCAATTGCCATACGTTCTTTCTGTTCTAGCCGAGCCTACAGCTTCTTGCAAATCTCTTACAAACAATTCCTTCTGCTGAAGTGACTTCATGAAACCCCCACTACTTTTATATTTACTTATATTTGTCTACTAGCCTCCATAAGAGGGGTTTTAGGTTAGCACTTAACTCTGGTGAATTAGTCATATTTTTAAGACACTCATCAGATATTGGAGTCGTCAACACTCTTAAGAAAGAACTTTGAATAAGGGAACGTTGACAATGAGTAAGTACAATGAACAGCAGAAACAGTAAAAGATTAATAGGCACTCTTATATAGTGAAGAAAAGAAAGGCAGAAACACATCTTTCCCAGGGGTTTGCCAGTCTTTTTCCAGGAGTAGGCCTCTTAGAAGCCCTATTCTCCGAAGTAGACTTCGGTGAAGTCCCAAAACTTGGAGATAGGTTTCTGAAGCCCCTATCTTGGTCTGATAGATGGTTTCCCATGCTAAGCAGACGCCACTGGAGTCGGCGTGGCATTTGCCCCTTTTTTATTTTTTAGATGTGCCAGAGAAATTTCTTCTCGTATAGAGGAGATGGAGCGGAAGACTAGTTTGAAGAGGACTGGAAAGATCTTATGGGACAATTAAGGCCTCTATAGAAATAAGGTAATGGTTAGATGGTGAAAAACGTCGAAACCCATTATATTTCTTAGAGATAAGCCAGAAACAAGTGCCTTTCAGGCGACCAGCTGGTGACCAACCAAGAATGAAGCCCTGCAGCAAGATTGTGTAAACTTTTGCCCTTTCAGGCGACCAGCTGGTGACCATCCAAGAATGAAGCCTTGCAGCAAGATTATGTAACTTTTTGCCCTTTCTTATGGAGATTTTTGCTATAAAAGTATGTTATCCTCTGCATTAAATCGCACTCAGCACTCAGCATCCACTCCTAATGTGTGTGAGTTGTCTGTTTGCCATCTCCCCATCCTATTCCAGGTTCCTCCCCTAGGTGTCCTCCGTCGTCCCGACAGAACCCGGTCCGCGGCAATAGAGGAAAGCCCTCACTAACTATCTAAGCTTCTTAGACAAAAATGATGAATAGCAAAAAGGCTACAGAGAATGTGAAAGTAGAGGAAAAGACAGACTTTGGAAGTAATTTGGACATTCCTTTGTCTCCTCTTTTTTTCTAATTCTTTTTTGTTGTTTTTATTTCTTGTTTTCCCTTGTAACTAGTGAATATCATAGCTATAAAGCCACTGAAATATCATCTTCCTTCACCCTTCAATTTATGACTTACAAATGAGAAAACTAAGACTCAGTTAAGACAAGAGAGTGGCCTAAGTTCACAAGCCTGAGTTTCTTGGTCCCTAGGAAATGTATTCCTAGGGACCCAGGCCCATCACTTCATATGAAGTTAGTATAGCACAGAAACTTGACAGGCCCCATTTCTAGACCATATATACTAAATATTTATTTTTGTCTATGTAGACTAAACAATCCAGACTCCCCCACTTACTAGTCCTCTAGCCTGGAAACCATGATAACAATTTAAAAAAGAGCAAGATACTTTAACAAAAGTAAGATATTTAAAAACTCCTAATTATCTTTCTCAGCTTTCTTTTCCTATTTGTTTTTCCTTCTCTACCTCTTTCTATATACACATCAAGCTTGAAAGGACTAAAAAGAGCCTCAATAAGTCCATTAAATTAGAACCACTAAGAATTTGGAGATAAAAGTTATCTTTCTCAACTCAAGTTATATAATAATTTCTAATTTAAGAATTTAATTTTTCACTTATTTTAGGGTTAAACTTTGTTCAAAGCACTTTATTAAAAAAAAATTGGATGAACACAATACTGCCGCTGGGGGAAAGTCTTTCCAAAATATAGGATTTAGATAACTATGCTCAGCCAGAGGAGTGGGGGGAAAAAATCTAACATAACTAAACTCTTAGTAAACCAAAGATGTTTTGAGATATATGTTAGGGTTATTAGAAAATAAACACAACCTTTTAGAACAAAATAAAAGCCCAATCAGGCATAAATGGCTCATGCCTGTGATCCTAGCTACTCAGTGTAAGGTCCGCTCCTGGATGGCTAGCAGACTCCACCCTCCTCGCAGCAAAGTCTCCACCCAGTACCTGCGTTACCTAGGCAACTGGGACACCTGGAAGAGGTCACATCTGCATCCGCTGAGGTCACATCTGAATTTAATGTGGCCACACCTTTCCCCGCCCATACCCTAGATATGGCCTAGCTCAGGCCCAGACTCTCTCTGTTCATTTTTCTAGCTCTTGCTCTTCTTTTCTAGCTCTCTTGCTCTTGCTCTTCTTTTCTAGCTCTCTCTGCTCTCTCTCTGCTCTAGCTCTTTCCTCTCTCTTTCCCAGCCACGTGGAGTGCCAACCTTGCCTAGTCCCAGCAGGTCTACTGAATAAACCTACCCCTTACCTGAATACCACGTGAGTGCTGCAGTTCTTACTCAGCTACCTCTTTTTAAAAACCTAACACTCAGGAGGCAAAAATTTTAAAACTGGAGGTATGTCTCAAGTAGTAGAGTACCAGCCTTAAAAAAAAAAAAAAGCCAAACAGAGCATGGGCCCAAAGTTTAAGTCTCAATCCCACACCAAAAACGGAAAAAAAAAACCCCAGTAAGGTCACGCTTATAAGATCAAACACTTGAACAGCTTATAAAAACTATCGTCATTTTTAAATACATTTTCCATGATTGAAACTATTCTGAAATACTTTGCAAAGATTCAATGGTCTTAAAAGTTTCCAAAGTAACTACAGTTAATCAATGGTGAAGAACTTAAGTCTAAAGTAGGCAACAGATTAGTAACAGTCCTTAAAACATTTTCAGAGTTAAAGCATTGCTGTCATACTCTATAGCTAGAATTCTTGGACTTTTAAAAAATTTAGCAGCTCAACAATTACTAGGCTAAATTAACCAAAACCATAATCTTGAACTACACTGTCAATTTTGGCCTTGCTAGTTAATCAAAGATAGAAGTACATGGGGTGGCTCTGAATATTTTATCTTCAGATCTCAGCCTCCTAAGTAGCTAAGATTATAGATGTGAGCCACCAACTCAGGGCTTAAAACCTTAATCTTGATGCCAGATACTTCCCCCTAATTCCCACAGCACAGTATCAATAAACAGTGTTACCATTTCTGGAAAGTATGAGTAAGAATATTTTCTTTTTCTAATCATCTAAACTTTTTCCATAAATACATTTTATGACTAGAAAAGAGTAAAGCAACTTCCATGAAGTAAGTGAGATATAAATTATCAGGGTATACAACCAAAGATTCTTCCTTACAGGGCATTTCCAATTTCCCCAAGGATTCCTGATAATACATTGGCCAGAAGTGGCACTGGTCAAGGCTACTGCTAGATGACCGAGAAGCTGGAAAATCAAGTTTGTTTCTATAGTAAAGATGTTTAAGGAAGAAGCAAGGATGCCCACATTAATTCAAAATGTGGGTCTACTAGTTCACAATGCAGGAAATCTCTACCTAAACTTGTTATATTTTATTTGGCATTTTATATTTTAAATAAAGCAAATGTAAGACCATTTAAAAAGTTCTCAGTGTGCAAATAAACCAAAGGTAATATCCACCAATACAGAAACGTGGTATCAAGTCATACTTACCTGCTTCAATACACAAGGCTTTCAAGTCTGCTCCAACGTATCCATGAGCATCATTTGCCAGCTGTACCAGTTCAGCTTCAGTGAGCAAATGAGGAACCCTTTGAAGAAGCTTCTGCAGAATATCTAGCCGGTCCTGAGCATTAGGAACTCCGATCTCAATCTCCTTATCAAATCGTCCAGGTCTACGCAGTGCAGCATCTAATGCTTCAGGGCGATTTGTGGCTCCAAGAACTAACACCTGTCCTTCACTTCCTTCCTAATAAAAAGTTTTAACAATATGTTTTTCTAAAAGTTGCTAATAATCATCATTATTATTATCATCACCATCATCATCATCATGAGATGGACACTGGCTTTATAGACACAAAGGAATAGTACTGTCCAGGCCATTAACCACTTACACTTAATTATTTGTTAACTTTACTTATAACATTTTTATTTAATATTTCTGTTACACATTTTCATAGCTGTCATTTAGACACTCTCATTTAGATACTCTCATTTAGACACATTTAGGCACTCTCCCATGGGAAGTCTAAAACTTAACAATGTTCTAACATCTGAACTATACCATTATTACAAATAATATATAAAAATTTACCAAATAGCTGTTTTAATTGTTTTATATATATTTTCCCTATCGGGAAGCAAAAAGTATGATCTGCACAGTATTCAAACAGAACATGGATCCATTAGGAACATGACTCACAAGTCTTCTTTATATATAAAACTTGCTTTCTGTTTTACTGTGATAATTTTTTCCAGTTAATTTAAGAAAACTTTTAAGTTTTTGTTTTTTTTAAAAAATTAATTTGCTTTATTGTTATTATAGAGGTGATGTACAGAGGGATTATTACTACATGAGTCAGGTAATAAGTACATTTCTTTTTGTATAGTTTCTTCTGTTCCCTCATTCCCTCATTTATTGGGATAAATTTTAAATTCCCGAAAATATAATGTATATCTAAGTATCAGCCACCATAACTAAAGTGTCATTATCAGGTGTTTTTAGTCCTCTTCAAAAGCAAATTTACTTAGTTAACAGATTTATTCCAGTGCTGACTGACATAGTGAGTGAGACCCTCCAATAATGAGCCTTCTAGCAATTTCCTCCTCACCAAGGACCTTCTAATTCTAATACAGCTCTCAATGTTCACCTTTAAAGCTAAATTACAGTCATTCAGAAACAGAGATCTGGCAGGTTTAATGATTACACCTGTCTCACTGAATACCAAATATTCAGATTGTTTTCAAATGTTCACATTTTACTAGTAAGCAGTAAACACCAAAATAATCTAATTGTGCAGACATTTGAAGTACAAAGGAAGGCAGGAAAGTACATGCTTTTTCCTTATTACTGCTCCTACTAGACCATCCTTTCATTATCAGAACATAGTTTATTACTTTAATACACACCTGACTCAGGTGTGGGCACATGCTTGTAATCACAATACTTGGAAGACTGAAGGCAGAGGGCAGCAAAACCTTGCCTCAAAAATCAAACTGAGGGGCTGGGGAAGGTGGCTCTGTGGAAGAGTGCTTGCCTTGCATGCATGAGGCACTGGGTTCAACTCCTCAGTACCACATAGGCAGAAAAAGCCAGAAGTGGCACTATGGCTCAAGTAGTAGAGCTCTAGCCTTGAGCTGAAGAGCTGAGGGACAACACCCAGGCCCAGAGTTCAGGCCCCATGACCAACCAAAAAAAAAACATCAAACTGAAAAACAAACATGAAATTTCTTAATAAAATTGCCCAAAATTTAATATGAACCTTCTTTGTTTTTGCCTCAGGATTTTTTGCTTATTTTTATACCAGTCATGGTATATGATCTCAGGGCTCTCATGATTTACCTTGGCTTTTTCATGCTAACCTGGTGCTCTACCTTTTGAGCCACACCTCCACTTCCAGATTCTTTCTGGTTAACTGAAATTAAAGAGTCTTATGGATTTTTCTGAACCATGATCCTAAGTTCTCAGCCTTCTGAGGATTACAAGTGAGAGCCACTGTGCTATAGCAAGCCTCAGTATTTAAGTTAATATTACCTATCACAAAAGCAGTCAAGTTACAAAGAGGCCCCTTTCTACACAGAATCAATACTAGTTCTGCACTTACAGAACCAATGCCATCCATTAGTGTTAAAAGTGAAGCTACCACTCTCTTTTCCACTTCATTCTGAGCTCCTTCTCTTTTGGGACAAAGCGCATCCAGCTCATCAATAAAAATAATCGATGGGTGCCTAGAAACAAGCAAAGGAAATCTAACTCATATTTAATTTTAAATTTTTTTTGGGGGGGTCCGGTCGTGAGGCCTGAACTCTGGGCCTGGGCGCTGTTCCTCAGCTCAAGGCTAGCGCTCTACACTTGAGTCACAGCGCCACTTCCGGCTTTTTGCTTATGTGGTGCTGAGGAATTGAACCCAGGGCCTCAGGCATGCAAGGCAAGCGCTCTACCACTGAGCCACCTTTCCAGCCCTAATTTTAAATTTTAATTTCAGTTCTTTAACTGAAATGTAACATATCAAATTTAAAATTTAATATTAAAAACTAAAATTGGCTTGTTAAGCCAAAAACCTCTATATTAATTCTAACTCAAATTATTTAACTCATCAATTTTACTTTCCAGACTGTCTACATCATTAAAAGGCAGTGTTGAGAAAGTTATGACATTAAAAGCTCATGTTTAGATAAAACCAAATTGTTTAACTGGGCACTGGTGGTTCATGCCTATCATCTCTAGCTATTCAGAAGGCTTAGATCTGAGGATGGAGATTTGAAGTCAGCCAGAGCAAGAAAGTCCATAAACACTTATCTCCAACCACCAAAAAGCCAGAAGTAGAACTGTGGCTCAAGAGGTAGAGCATTAAGCTTGAGTGAAAAGCTCAGGGACAGTACCCAGGCCCTGAGTTCGAGCCCCAGTACCAGCACATACATGCACATACAAAAAATGTTGTAATTAGGCCAATTTAGAAGTTAAGGCAAGAGTATTTATTGTGCCTTAGAATAGGTTTAGTGCCCAAATGATATAAACTAAAAATAGCCTCTAGAAAACAAAACTAAAAAACACTTTCATGGTGACTAATTCTATCACAGTGAATTCTCTCACAAGAGCAAATTTCAATTATGATCAATATAATCATAAGAAGAACAATAAGATCCACCACTGGTTCTCAAATTTCTAGAACTAGCATGTCAAACCACTTTATTCATGTACTACTGTTGAGGACAAAACCTTTAAACATAGAGTCAATAATTAAAGAGTAGTAACATACTGTACAATAATAAATATTGAAACAATAGTAGAGACATGGCCATATCATAAATTAATATTGTATAAACCAAGTTAGAAACTATATTTTTTCCTTTTTCTTTTTTTTTTCGGGGGTCCAGTCGTGGGGCCTGAACTCTGGGCCTGGGCACTGTCCCTCAGCTCTTCAGCTCAAGGCTAGCGCTCTACCACTTGAGGCACAGCACCACTTCTGGCTTTTTTTTTTCCTGCTTATGTGGTGCTAAGGAATCGAACCCAGGGCCTCATGCATGCAAGGCAAGCGCTCTACCACTGAGCCACCTTCCCAGCCCAGAAACTATATTCTCATACTCATTAAATATAACACTATAGCATTAGCAAATAATAGTACTAATGTTTTAAAGAGCAAAAGATTTGTACTTTTGAGTAAACTGTAACTTTTAAGCATAAAAGCTTTGAAAAATTCAATCTACTAAGGGAATTAAATATATTAGAGGTTTCACAGTACTCTAAAGAAAGAGTCAAGGATTTATATGACATCAAACAACACAGTTATAATTCTTCTATTTTATGTAATTCACTAACTCATATACTGTACTTTACTTGAACACAATCTTAGATAAAAACAGGTTAAAAAAAAATGTCGCCTGAGGCCCTGGGTTTGATTCCCCAGCACCACATAAGCAAAAAGAAAAAAGCCAGAAGTGGCGCTATGGCTCAAGTGGTAGAGCGCTAGCCTTGAGCTGAAGAGCTGAGGGACAGCGCCCAGGCCCAGAGTTCAGGCCCCACGACCGGGCCCCCTCCCCCCCCCAAAAAAATGTCATTAAATCTATAATCAGTTCTTATAGCTGTTACTATCTTTTTCTTTTTGCCCAAGACTGGGACTCAAATTCGGTATTTTTTGCTCAATGGCTGGCCTCTACCACATGGGCCACCCCTCTAATCCATTACTATCTTTTGTACTACTCTTTCTTTGCATAAAGTGCTAGTTTCTTACTTTTAGTACTACAATCTTGACCATTAATTCCAAAAAATATTTTTTAATACACAATACCGAGGGAGGGGGGGATGGTAGGGGGAAAACAATGGAGGGGGTAACAATGTTCAAGAGGAAGTGTACTCATTACCTCACTCATGTAACTGTAACCCTCTGTATAGTAGCTTTACAATAAAATTAAAAAAAAAAAAAAAAAAAGAAAAACAAACAAAAAAAACAATACACAATACCGTAGAGTGGCTTCAACAAATATCTGACGTAATCTTGCTTCAGTCTCACCATAAAATCTGTAAATAGAATTTTTTTTTAATTTTTATTTATTTTTTATTGTGAAAATTCTGTACAGAGGGGTTACAATTACATGGGCATAAAATTTTTTTTTAATGAGGACTGCTACTGTTTTTAGGTATTATCTATAAGCAAAAACTGAATAATGAACTATTTCTAGAAATCTGAAAATTACTTTCAAAAATTATTTCCCAAACTTCTTTTTTTTCTGGAGCTACTGAGGATTTGAACTCAAATCCTCATGCTCCCTCAAATTCTTTGCATTCAGCTGGCACTCTACCAGATGAGCCTTGCCTCTGGCCCTGATTTTGTTGGTTACTTTGGATATGCAATCTCACAAATATTTCTGCCAGGCTGGCTTCAAACTGCCATCCTCTGTATCTCAGCTCCTGAATAAGTAGGACTACAGGTGTGAGCCACCAACACCTGGCTCCAAACTTAGCATTTATAAATATTAATAAGCAAGAGCATGCATGTAATCCCAGCTTCATGGAGTTACGGGTAGGAGGGTCATGGTCTAAGGTTGGATTCAGGCAAAAACTGCAAGACTCTCAAAAATAACTAAGGCAAAAAGGGTTGAAGGCATTACTTAAGAGGCAGAATACTTGCTCAGCAATCAATCACAAGGCCCTGAATTCAATCCTGACTAGAGCATTTTAATGTATAATATTTATTTTTAATATATTTTAAAACAAATATGTGTATACATATGTGCATGGGGGGAGGATTCCGATGTATGAAATATCCGGACAGAATACTATTCAGCCAATTTAAAAATGAAAAGTGAGTTGACATACACTTACTTGCTTATAATTTCAGGACCATTAATTACAGAAATAAAAGCCCCAACTTCATTAGCAATAGCTCGGGCAATCATAGTTTTTCCAGTACCTGGAGGACCATAGAGTAATACTCCTCTAGGAGCAGGAATTCCTAGAGGTAAAAGAAGAGGACAATGAATTACTAGGCTACTTAGAAATGTTGTTATACAACTTCAAATATCACAAATATAGCCAGGTGCCAGTGGCTCATACCTACCGTCCTAGCTTCTCAGGAGGCTGAGGTCTAAGGATTGTGGTTTGAAGCCAGCCCCAGCTTTGAAAAATGTCCATGAAACTCTTACCTCAATTAACCACTAAAAAGCCAGAAATGGAGCTGTGACTCAAGTGGCAATGCACTAAGCCTTGAGCTCAAAGGCTCAGGGACAGCACCTAAGCCCTTGAGTTAATCACCAGGACCAATCAGCATCAAAACAACAACAACAAATCACAAAATTAAAATGAATGAGATCCTCCAAGAAAGATATACTATCACAAACATTGTTCCCCATCGATGATGTTTTATTTTTCTGGAGACCACAAACCAGAGAAAGCATGATGGAAAAAAAATAGGTATCCATACTGTGCCTCATTCTACACAGCACAGTTCAACAATCAGAACACAAAATCCAAGAAGTGGTGGCTCAAGTGATAGAGTGCTTGCCTTAAACTGAAGAGCTCAGGGACAGTGCCCAGGCCCAGAATTCAAGCCACACAACTGACAAAAGACAAAAAAAAAAACAAAAAACCCCACAAAATCCAGATAGTAAAAGCCAGAAACTCCAATTTTCTTCCAAGTGGCCATCTTGGAGAATATAAACATGACTAACAAAATATAAACCTAAGGGTTCATTTTATGTGAATGAAGATTTAGGAGAAGAAAAAACAGATTGCCATGTACCAAGTATTAGCAAAAAAATCTAGGAATCAACTACCAAACCCTCATCTACTTCAATCTAACAAGATGTTCATACAGCTACATTTCCTAACAACCAATTAACATGAATATTTTTTAGTCATTCCAGCTCATTTAACATAAGAAAATAATTATGCAAGATTCAATATAAGCAACTGTGAATATATGCTATTTCAAAGGCTAAAGCTGTCACTAAAATACATTATACCAAGAGAACATTAGCAGTCACTAAAATACATTACAACCAAGAGAACAAAGCAAAAGGAATAAATTATTCCATTGCCATATCCCAAAGCAATGAATCCATTCAACCATACCTATCACTCCAGAAATAAAGACAGATTATTTTGAGTTTGAATACAAGTCTGGGTAACATAATAAAAATACTATACCATAACGCTTGAAAAGTTCAGGCTGTTTGAGAGGCAATTCAATTATTTTTCTAATTGCTTCCAGTTGACTACTTAAGCCTCCAATCATGTCATATGTTACTCTGAATTGGTTATCTTGCTCTTTTAAATTTGTGCAAGTCTTTGTAAAATTGATCCTTGTTGTTGAGGAAATAAAATAAAAAGTATCAGTATTGCATTTCCGTCCCACGCTGGCAGATTTCAGCAAACTTTCTTCATTGGTGAGCTGCTTATTTCCTTCTCTGGCTGACTTAACACAACATTTAAGACCTGTGATGTCTTCCAGTACAAGGCCACTGCCATCCCCAGAGCTCTGAGCAACATCCAACAAAATGTCACTAGTTGCGTTCACAACTGGGTCCACCGCTGGTTTACAAGGAGTACTTCTTGAGGCTGGACTCCGGGGCTCTTCCAGATCTAATTGGCCTAGCTGGAGGGATATATCCAGGCTACTGGATTCCATGCTGGGGCATTCAGAGACCACTTCTTGGGAATCAGTGGCAGCATTGCTCTGAGGCCTTTCCAATATTGTGCCATCTGTCCCTTTCACTTGTAATACTTGCATCTTGCATAGTCGTAAATAGAAGGAACAATACAGAAAGTTGCCTGGTAAAACAACTTTGCCATCTATAAAACAATTTAGCAGATATTCATGTTAGCACTTTTCTCCAGCTTAATGTTTTAATAGCAACTGCTTACAATTAACAAAACTGACTGGAAAGATTAAATCAAAGCTGGAGTACTAATACCTAATTTTCCTTATGATACAGCACCAATAAGAGGTAGAAAAGATGATTCTTTCGGAAGTGGCACTGTAGCTCAAGTGGTAGAGCACTAGCCTTAAGCTGAAGAGCTTAGTGACAGCGCTCAGGCCCAGAGTTCAAGCCCCACAACCGACTAAAAAAAAAAAAAAAAAAAAAAAAAGATGATTTTTTTTTCTAATCTTCTATCCTCAATGAACCTAAAATTCTATCAACCATTATCAACAAATAGCAAGGAAATTACATTCACCAATGAGTTAAGCTAAAACGGTAACAACACACCTACCTAACACTCCTAAATGTTTCTCAACAGAAATAGTAAAAGCACAGGGTTCTCAATTTGGCTGGGCACAGTGGCTTAGGCCTTAACTATTTGGGAGGCCAATATCAGGTCAAGGTTAGCCCTGGCATAGAAGTTCATGGTACTCCATCTCAACCAACGTCTAGTCATAGCAAGTATGTGCATGTCATTCCTATTAACACAAGGTAGCATAAAAAGGAGGTGCAGAGCCCAGGTCAGCCCAGGCATAAATAAAAACCCTACTTGGAAAATATCCCAAGCAAAAAGGGGCAAGACATAGTTCAAGTGGTAGAGTACCTGCTGGGCCCTGAGCTTGATTTCTGCAATCACAAAAAATGTCTTTTTAATCCACAGGCAAGTCACATAATCTTGTCAATTCTTCACTGACAGTCAACTTAATGGTAAAACATTGTTTCAAAAGGATTTGGATTCATTGAGGGAAATATTTTTAAACTATTTTGAAAAAAAAGTCTCTATTTACAAGATCCCAGGGGCATTTTATTTGCTGTCTTATTGCTTAAAATTTTAGAAAACAACTTAAAATATTAGTCTTACCAAGTTTCCTCAGAATACAACTAGCCAGGTCTTCTCCACTAATACCCTGATCTTCATCACTATAAAAGGAGGAAAGAAATTACAGGTAAGTATATTTTAAACTGTGGTATGAAATGACATGCATATAATTAAGAACCTAATCCAAAGAATAACTGTTTTCGATTTGAAAATAAATGACTCATACCATTCTGGGTGACTACATTTTTTAAATACTTCTTACTTACAGAAAAATATCATCTGTAATCTGGTGCCTTAGAGGCTTAAATCAGTTTTCTCTAAAAATAAAGGGTAATAGCCAAGTCGTTCACACCTGTAATCCTACCAACTCAGGAGGCTGAGTCTCAGATGATCACAGTTCAAAGCTAGCCCAGGGAGAAAGTGTGTGAGACTCCATCTCCAATTAACCAGCAAAATGCTGAACTGGTAAAGAAGAAGCATAGGTCAAGTGGTAGAGTGCCAGCCATAAGCAAGAAAACTCAGCAAGAGCATGAGGCCTGACACTGGAACAAAATATAAACAAATAATTATATGTAAATAAATGAGCAAATAAATGTAGCATCCAATAGGGTATAAAAATCTTAACAGTCAATCTCATTTGGTACTTTTTACATACATGCACACATGCATACACCCACTCGTGTATTTAGATCCATTATATTATAGGTACACATGAAATGCACACAATAAATCATAATGATGGTATTATTTCTGTGTGATATCATAGTCAAATGAATTTGAAACACATTCCCCTAAACTAATTATGCCCTTCCTCAAGTTGCCTACCTCTTATCTGATAATGATTTCCTCAAGAAAATTTAATCTTACATAATATGTGACCTACAGAAATTCAAGATGGGCAGGGAAGGTGGCTCAGTGGTAGAGCGCTTGCCTTGCATGCATGAGGCCCTGGGTTCAATTCCTCAGCACCACATAAGCAAAAAGAAAAAAAGCCGGGAAGTGGCGCTGTGGCTCAAGTGGTACAGCGCTAGCCTTGAGCTGAAGAGCTGAGGGACATGCCCAGGCCCAGAGTTCAGGCCCCATGACTGGACCCACAAAAAAAAAAAAAAAAAAAAAGAAATTCAAGATGTAAAAACGGTAATACTCACTATGGAAACTGATTCTGGAGAATGGGCATGCCTGAAGAAAATTCAAGACACTCATCTTCCTATAAGTAATTATGTCTTTTCATGAAAGTGGCTCATTTAACTAGGAGGTAGGTTTACCTAAATATAGAACACTAAACTAGTAAAAAGAAAAAGGGTCTAGGAAGGTGGCTCAGTGGTGGAATGCTTGCCTTGCACGCATGAGGCCCTGAGTTCGATTCCTCAGCAAGAGATAAGCAGAAAAAGCCAAAGTGGCATTGTGGCTCAAGTGGTAGAGTGCTAGCCTTGAGATGAAGAGCTGAGGGACAGCACCCAGGCTCAGAGTTCAGGCCCCACAACTGACAGGAAGAAAAAGAAAAAAATCTAATCTTAAAGAGTTTTTCAAAGCATTTTCCTCCTCTTTTATGTGTAAGCAGCAGTAAAGTCTATGAATCAAATATGTGTAAACTATACATTTTTCAACGTTTAAATTTACTTGTTTATAAGGCTGAAGCAAGTTATAGTTAATCATTTTATTAAATGACTAGAAGATGTTCAAGTAATAGTAAAAGTATTCAGTTTTGCTTTTAAAAAGTGGTAATATATTAAATTATTACAACTAAAAGAAGCTCCAACATTACTAATAAAACTTTTTTATTTCAACTAAGAATTTTAGGAGACTACGATTATTAGTACTCCTAATCAGCAACTTATTTGTCTACACTAAAAGTATAACTTTCTAAAATAAAATTTTGAAAGCCAAGATTCCATCTAAATACATAGTCCTCTATCACAAGCATCACAAAGGCCTAACTACTGAGGAGGTCAGAATGGTTCAAGATCGCAACCGAGCTAATTCAGCCAACTGGGCACTGTTGTCTCGCAGCCCTGGTTTAAGACATAGTTTGATGACTAATCTTCTTTGTTCTAAGTAGTACTTACTACTTTCAGAAATATAAAGCACATTGAGCCTATTTCCTCATTTGTTAAAAAAAAAAGAAAGGAAAAGGAGAAAGGAGGAAGGGGGAAGGAAAGGGGTGAAAAGAAGTAAAGGATCAAGTATGGTAGTGCACACATGTAATTCCAAAACTCAGGAGCTGGAAGGAATTTGAGTTTGATGCCAGGCTGGGCCACATAGCAAGAGGAGGCAGCAAGAGAGTTAATATAGATACCTTGAAGAGTCTTGAGGAAAAAGGGGAAATGTATGTATTCTTATTCTCAACACAGAGATATGCATTCCTATGTATGTGTGTAATACATGTAAAGCATTCTTTCTCTTTCCTTTTCTGCTTTTTCACTTTCATTTCCTGGTTTTCATGCCCTGATCACATTCTCCTGATTTTAAAGGAAAATATGTGTTAAAATTGAAAACTGGAATATATGGTAGCAGAAAAAATAAATAAATAAAATTCAATTCAAGATGCTGACAAAATGTTGTGTGAATCTTGCATATAATCTTGCATATAAACACATTCCCAAAACTGTTACTAAGGTGATAATAAACTATCAGAAGGGCTGTTTTTTAAAGAAATTTTGATCAGACTTACATATACAAAATAAATCACAAACCCATTACACATAGAATATCCAAAAACCTGGATAAGATACTTTATTCAAACTCGGTGTATGCCTATAATCCTAGCTCATGTCTATAATCCTAGCTCAGGATGCTGAGATCTAAGATCAGAGTTAGCCCAGGCAGATATAATTGAGACCTTCTCATTCCAATTAGCCAGAAAGAAGCTGGAAATGGAGGCATAAGGAATTATTTAAAATTCTAATAATGACCTTTTGTTGCACTAGGTTAAATACTCAGCTTAAACTAAGGGCCTTTCCTTCTTGCCTAGTTTTTTTCACTCAAGGCTGGTGTTCTACTACTTGACCCATAGCTCCACTTCCAGCTTTTTGATGGCTAGAGATAAGAGCCCCTAGGACTTTCCTGCCCAGGCTGGCTCTGAATTTCAATCCTCAAATCAGAGCCTCTTGAGAAGCTAGATTACAGGTGTGAGCCACAACAGCTGACCTTGAGCTATCTTAATTTAAAAGTTATTTATTGGGGCTGGGAAGGTGGCTCAGTGGTAGAGCGCTTGCCTTGCATGTCTGAGGCCCTGGGTTTGATTCCTCAGCACCACATAACCAAAAGAAAAAAGTCGGAAATGGCGCTGTGGCTCATGTAGTACAGCTCTAATCTTGAGCTGAAGAGCTGAGGGACAGCGCCCAGGCCCAGAGTTCAGGCTCCACGACCAGACCCAAAATAAATAAATAAAAGTTAGTTATTGTCTACTCAGAATTACAATTTTAAGAAGTCCTGATTTTACTATGAGCCCAGATGAAAAATTCTAAGTATTTATCAGTGATAATTCCTTTCAGCTAAATGTCAGGACACTATTCACAGACATGAGAACCCCTAGTACATAAATTACATCACACCCATGTAGTTTGTGCTATCTCTCATCACATGTGTCTATCAACTACTGAAAACAGTGCTAATCCAAACTGCTATCTGCTACAAACTTAATGTACACACTGGATTCTGAAGACTTACTTTGAAAATGAAAGGCTGTAAAGTATCTTACAAATAACTTTTTATATATATTAAAATAGCTTTACATACTTTGACTAAATAGACTAGTAAAACCCATTTCATTTGTTTGTAATTCATTTACTTATTATTTTTTTCTTATTTACTATTTAAGTGTGGCTACTAGCAAATGCAAAAGTATGTGTGTGGTTTACAGTGGTAACTCTCATTATCCCTCTACTAGGCAACATTAATCCAGACAGACGGGTCACCAAAGACAAGAGTCCAACCTCAGAGCCAGGTCCACTTCCTCGGCCTGAACAAGAGCACCCACGAGTGGCTGCACCCAGGTGCTATCACCAGCCGTCACCCCTAGATTCCTCTGTGCCATGTCACTCAGGCCAACCTTGCCTCCAGGAAATCCTGCCACTGGCCAGGCTGTACAAACCTGCCAAGACAAAGGAAATGATAAGATTAGCAAGTAAATATTCATATACACCATGAATTGCTAAGGAAGATTCTAATAAGCACAGCTGGCACATAAATCCATAAAAACATAGTCCTTATCTCAAAACAGTAATAATCTGACACAAACTACAGAAAGATGAATTGCGCTTTTATAATACCTACACTTACAAATTAATTATCTTACTATTGTATCTTTTTAAAGGTGAGGAATGAGCTCCTAGTGAAGGCAGATTTAAGAAAAAAGACAAAGATATTGCAGGTGATATGAAAAGGAGAAAACTATTCAAAGCAAGGTAACCTAGCCTCAAACTTAAGTTATATGCAGGAAATACTGAAAGACAAAACTAAAGCTTCATGAGAACCTGGATCTCACCAGATTTAAATATTTAAGAAAAGGAGCAAAGATTTCTGGCTCAAGTTCACACATTTATAGTCCTACTTTCCAGAAGATAAAGCAAAAGATGCTTTTTTTAAATACAGCATAATCCCAAAACAATAGGAATGACAAAGGTGTTGTCAGCAGGCAAGTGATAGCAAAACATTCCCAGAAGATCTGCTGGGGATGAGAGGTAACAGATGAGAAACCAAGCTTTCCTCCATGAAGGAACAATTCTAGGCTTGGAATATCTGAGCATAATACATGGCAGGAAAGAGAAACATTTAAAAACCAAGAGAATAAACATTCCTTTTTTTTTTTTTTAAATGGTTTGGTTTTGAATTTTTGTGCTAGTACTGGGGCTTGAACTTATTTTAAATCTGAACTGAGTTTAACTTTTTCTTTTTCTTTCTTTTTTTGGGGGGGGGTGGGGGGGCCGGTTGTAGGGCCTGAACTCTGGGCCTGGGTGCTGTCCCTCAGCTCTTCAGCGCAAGGCTAGCGCTCTACCACTTGAGCCACAGCGCCACTTCCGGCTTTTTTCTTTTTGCTTATGTGGTGCTAAGGAATTGAACCCAGGGCCTCATGCATGCAAGGCAAGCGCTCTACCACTGAGCCACCTTCCCAGCCCCAGTTTAGCTTTTTCACTCAAGGCTGGCACTCTATCACCAAAACCACAGCTCCACCTCCAACATCTTGGTTGTTAACTGGAGAACAGTGTCATAGACTTTTCAGCCTGGGCAGACTTTGAACTGCGATCTTCAGATCTCAGCCTCCTGAGTAGCTAGAATTATGGCATGAGCCACCGGTGCCCACAATGTAAAAAAATAAAATTAAATTAAAACAACAACAACAAAAAACTATGTACTACCAACTCCTGGAGAAAAGGTCTCATTTAACATGACATTTTAGGGATGCTATTCCCAGTATAACCATAGACAACAGAGAAAGACAGGGCCTACATACACATGTTTTTCAAACACTTTATTTTTCATTTTTCTTGCTGTCAAGTCAAAATCTCAACCATCCCAAATATTTATAAACCAAGAAAATAAAGAGCCAGGTTCTGGTGGTGCACATCTATGATCCTATCGACTCTGGAAGCTGAGATCTGAGGATAGTGGTTCCAAGGAAAAGTCTGGGCTGGCTTTGAAATACTTAACCTCAATTAACCACATACACACATACACAAAAGAAGCCAGAAGTGGAGCATAGATCAAGCAGTAGAATATTAGCCTTCAGAAAAAAAAAAAAAAAGTAAGAGACAGTGCCCAGGCCCTGAGTTCAAGCCATCGTACCAGCAACAAAAGAAAAAAGAAAGGAAAAAGGAGCCATGCCTGTAAACAAAGGAAGGAAGGGAAGGAGGAAAGGAAGGAGGGAGAGGAAAGGGAGAAGAGGAGAAGGAAAGAAGGAAGAAAAAAATGAAAAAGGGCACATGCCTGTAATCCTAGCTATCAGGTTTGAAATAATGAAGAAAAGTCCAAGGCCAGCTGGGCAAAGTTAGTGAGTCACTCAGAAAAAAAATATAAAGGGGCTGGGAAGGTGGCTCAGTGGTAGAGCGCTTGCCTTGCATGCATGAGGCCCTGGGTTCGATTCCTCAGCACCACATAAGCAAAAAGAAAAAAGCCGGAAGTGGCGCTGTGGCTCAAGTGGTAGAGCAATAGCCTTGAGCTGAAGAGCTGAGGGACAGCACCCAGGCCTAGAGTTCAGGCCCCATGACCGGACGCCCCCCTCAAAAAAAAATGAAAACAAAAAAATGGCTTGGGGATGGGGCTCAAATGGTAAGAAGCAGCTGCTTAGCGTGTATGAGGCTGAGGGTTCAATGCATAGCACTAGGGGTGGAAAAAAAAATCAACAAAGGCATCTTACCTCTTGCTTTCCATTCAAACTAGTAAGCAACACTGGTCGACCTATACATATATTTGCAGACTTCATAGTGTTGACTCCCAGGTGAACAACAAAATTTTGGAACGCTTTAGGGACTCTGACATCAGCTATGAAGGAAGAACAAATCACTTGGAAACTTTATAAATGAAGATGTACGTGAAAATGATAAATGAACTTATATCTTGGAAAAACTACAGCTCCAACACTTTTTTAAGGACTTACAAACATAACATTTTATTTCAAGCATATTAGGAAACCACTGAGAGATTTTCTTTTTTTTAAAAAAAAAAGCTTATTGTTATACAGTTATCCAACACTTCCTTTATGCAATTTACAACCAAATCCTTCCAAGTGTTTCATGACAACATATTAACCACAAAGTGTTTATTTAAAAAAAAAGTATTAACTACAAACTGTTAAGTAAAAAGAAGAAAGTCCTTAATTTCATTAAGAATTAAACATACTTGTGGCAAGTCTCAGAGCTTTATATATTCAGATTCTGAGTCAGCTACAAGAGTTCACAGGCTTGGACCAGGAGTAGTCACATGTCTCTGGCACTAGAGGATTCAGTTTGGTCACCACAGGCCCAGGGGCTACCCCTAAACACTTCCACACCTCCCTATCCGTGGGACTACGTTCCGTTTCCCATCCACTCACCTCTCTTCCACTCCAGTGGAGCACCAACCATTTTCTGTCCGCACCACCCAGGTCCTCCAGTAGTAAACAAGCACTGAGCTGAGCGCAGGTGGCCGCCCCGCCTTCCCGGCCCTCGACCCTCCCCGCCCCCGGAGCCTCCCCTCCTCCCCAGGCCTCCCCTCCCCTCAGCCTCCTCGTCCCGGACCTCCCCTCCTCCCCAGGCCTCCCCTCCCCTCAGCCTCCTCGCCCCCGGGGCCTCCCCTCCTCCCCAGGCCTCCCCTCCCCTCAGCCTCCTCGCCCCGGACCTCCCCTCCTCCCCAGGCCTCCCCTCCCCTCAGCCTCCTCGCCCCCGGGGCCTCCCCTCCTCCCCAGGCCTCCCCTCCCCTCAGCCTCCTCGCCCCCGGAGCCTCCCCTCCTCCCCAGGCCTCCCCTCCCCTCAGCCTCCTCGCCCCGGCCTCCCCTCCCCTCAGCCTCCTCGCCCCCGGCCTCCCCTCCCCTCAGCCTCCTCGCCCCCGGCCTCCCCTCCTCCCCTCAGCCTCCTCGCCCCCGGCCTCCCCGCCCCCGTAGCCTCCCCTCTCCTCAGCCTCCGCGCCCCGGACCTTCCCGCCCCCGTAGCCTCCCCTCCTCCCCAGGCCTCCCCTCCTCCCCTCAGCCTCCGCGCCCCCGGCCTCCCCGCCCACAGAGCCTCCCCTCCTCCCCAGGCCTCCCCTCCCCTCAGCCTCCTCGCCCCCGGCCTCCCCGTCCCCGGAGCCTCCCCTCCTCCCCAGGCCTCCCCTCCCCTCAGCCTCCTCGCCCCGGACCTCCCCTCCTCCCCAGGCCTCCCCTCCCCTCAGCCTCCGCGCCCCGGCCTCCCCGCCCCCGGAGCCTCCCCTCCTCCCCAGGCCTCCCCTCAGCCTCCTCGCCCCGGCCTCCCCGCCCCCGGAGCCTCCCCTCCTCCCCAGGCCTCCCCTCAGCCTCCTCGCCCCGGCCTCCCCGCCCCCGGAGCCTCCCCTCCTCCCCAGGCCTCCCCTCCTCCCCTCAGCCTCCGCGCCCCGGACCTCCCCTCCTCCCCAGGCCTCCCCTCCTCCCCTCAGCCTCCGCGCCCCGGCCTCCCCTGCCCTCCAAGCCCCGCACCACTGTTTACCTTTTCCCAGGAAGTTTGTGATCACCAGAGTCCCGGTCGGCTTCTCGGGGTCCGAGGCGGAAGCGGGGTCCCCGGCCTGAGCAGCAGTGGCGGCAGCCAAGGGCGAACTCCCTTCCGCGCCGTGGCTCAGCCGCTTCCTGTGTCTCTTGGAAGACATGATGGCACCACCGCCGGCGAGAAGCGACCGGGATGCCGGTTCAACGTGCGCGCGGAGAGTGAAAGAAAACTTCCGGGGCAGAGGTCACGGAGGCTCCGCCCCTACCGTAATCCGCAGAGCGCAGTGGAGGGAGGGCGCGAAGCCCGCTTTCGCCGGCGCTGTGTTAACGGTGTTCCGTAAAGCCGGGCCGGCTCTGCTGGGAGCGTTTTCCGTCAGGCCTCACCACCCTAGACCTTTTGGGGACCTTTGTCGTCACGGCCGGACCCAGTGTCAGTCTCTGTCACTGGGACCCTCGCCGGATTTCCCTCTTGAAGCCTGCTTCGAACACTTGTTTTACAGGGGCAATGCATGGGCCGCCTGAGCCTGTAATCCCCGAAAGAGGTCCTTTCGTGTCGCCCTGCCTGGTGTCTAAGACGTCGGCGGATGTAAACGAGTTAGCTAAGTGAAGGGATGGGGGGAGGACAGTGAACCGTGGCAGCTTTGCACGGTGGTTAACCGCCGGCCGCACTCCTCGTAGGTTTACGGTAGTACGCCCCTCCGCGAGCGTGCGGGGAGCCGCGCCGGCGGCCGGGGCTCGCGGAGGCGGGGCGGGGAGGGGGGCGCGGCGGGGAGGAGGAGGCGGGGCTCCCGCCGCGGGGGTGGGGCTTTGGCGGCGGAGGGCGGGGACGGGGCGGGGCTTGGGCGGAGGGGGCGGGGCTTGGGCGGAGGGGGCGGGGCTTGGGCGGAGGGGGCGGCGCACACGGCGGAGTCGGGGCGCGCGGTCAGCGGCGATGTGGCCGCTGTTGCGAGGGTTGTCGTGGCGCTCCGCGCTGGCCCGCGCCGGTCGCGCCCCTCTCCAGGCCGGGCGCCGCGCGGACTCGTGCTATCCCGGTAGCGCCGGCGAGCTGCGGGGCGAACCGGACAGATTCGGGGGCGTCACGGTGCACCTGACGCAGCTCCACGCTCTGGGCCACCTGGACGCCGCCGCCTTCCAGAAGGCCTTACAGGGCAAGTGCGCCTGCGCCGAGCCTCCACCGAGACCGTGGCCCGGCTGCGTGTCCGGGAGGCGGGGGGAGGAGAGTGCTTGCACACTCAGCACCTCCGTCTCCCCCGAGACCTAGGCGTTGCGGTCTGGGAGGCCGTGGGTGACTTCGAGGTTGTGTAAACTCTGAGTGCACCTGAGTCCCGGATCCCCGAGGCTCAGCCCGGGTGATGCCTGCGAGATCCGAGTCTACCAGGGCGTCTTAGGTGGTGTTTGCTTGCTTGCTTGTGTGCCGGCCCTGGGGTTTGAACTCGGTATCTAGGTGCTGTGTCATCTACCACTTGAGCCACAGTTCCGCTTCCAACTTTTTGGTGGTTGTGATAGTCTCTTGGACTTTCCTGCCTAAGCTGGCTTCGAACCTGGATCCTCCAGTCTCAGCCTCTTGGGCTTGCTAGGTGTGAGCCACCTGCTTCCAGTTTAGATGTTTGTTAAGCACGTTATTCTTTACTGGCATTTACTGAGCCCTAGTTCTTCCTAGTACTTTGCTGACGGTAAAAGGATCTTGTATTCACTGAACCAGAAGGGGTCCGAGTGATCACACGAATAGGAACTGTAAGCTCGTGAAGTGGAGATTGCTGCTGGTTATAAAATGTTCCAGCTTTCTTTTGGTTGGAAACCGCTCCTGTAACTTTGCACTTTGAGCCCGGTACGACTGGAAGACCCTTCTTCCCTGGGAAAAGTGCACCATTTGGTGGAGGCAGAATCTGCTTTTCAAACTGCCTCTGAGAATCTTAGAATCGGAAGGCATAGTGCACAAACCCAGCCATGGGAGATAATCACACATAACTGGCAACTTCAAAATATCTTTATCTTACTGAGCAGTATGGCAAGTCAGCATCTCTCAGTATCAAAGACCTACTCAGTTCAATGTTTAACCATCACCCTTAAACCAAACTACTCCATTTGTAGAGTAGGTGCTAAGAAAGCCCACTTAGACTTAATATCACTTGCACATGGTACTTGCAAGAAACCAGATGGGTCAAGTACTATCCCATAAAACACTTTGGGTTTGGAGACACCCTTAGTGGTCAAGTCCCAAGTTTTGCCACATACTCTGCATAAACGGTCACTGGAAATATCCACTGCTTAGGTTGCTTCTGTGCGTGATACTTTCTTGGATCCATGTGATCAAAGATAACTTACATGAAGTTAATTTGTACATTTTGCTATAATTTGTACTTTTAAATAGAACATTCTGTGGCACTTAGTAAATGCCAAGCATTCTCTTTGAAACCCAGCAAATACTAATTCAGTTAATATTCAGAAACCAGGTGAGATAGATATATAGCTCCAAGAGCTAATTTATCTAGTTCTGTTGTGGTAAGGTCAAATTAAACTGGCCCTACATGTAGAAAAACTAAGAAGTAGTGCATTCCTTATAATCATATAGATAAGTAGTCTTTGAGTAATTAATAGAAAACACATTAGCAATGGTGTGAGAAAGATTTTTGTTAAAGGTCTGCTGTGTTAGATAAACTTAAAAGGATGAGTATAAGCTGTGGAGATGGAGGTAGGGAAGAAGAACTATTTGTTTCTTAGAGGAAAGGAACTAAAAGTGAGTGTAAGCCAGGCTATTGCTAAGTCCTGAAATCCTAGCTATTTGTGAGGTAGAGATGGGTGGGTGGCAGTGTGAGGCCTGCCTGGGCAATGGATCAGTGTTGTGACACACTCCTCTGTTTACCTAGCTACAAGAGAAGCACAATGGGTGGGCTCAGTGTCATCCCCAAGACACAGGAAAGAATCAGAGCCAAAAAATTGGTTAAACACCTGTAGAAAACTAAAGCTAGATCCCCATCTATCACCCTGCACCAGAATCAACTCCAAAGGGATCAAAGACCTCAATGTCAAAGCAGACACCCTGAAAACATTACAGGAAGGAATAGGAGAAACTCTAGGGCTCCTTGGCACAGGCCGAAATTTTCTTAATAAAGACCCAGAAACACAACAAATCAAAGAAAGGTTGGACAAATGGGATTGCATGAAATTGCAGAGCTTCTGCATGGCAAAGCTAGCAAGATAATAGAAAACCCACGGATTGGGAGAAGATCTTCACAAGTCATACAACAGACAAGGGTCTTATATCTAAAATATACTTAGAACTCAAAAAACTAAATTCCCCAACATCAAATTCTCAAACAACTGCCCGATAAGTAAGTGAGCTAAAAACTTAAATTTCTCTGAAGAGGAAATAAGAATGGCCAATAGACACATGAAGAATTGCTCAACTTCTCTAGCCATAAAAGAAATGCAAATCAAGACAACATTGAGATTCTAACTCAACCCAGTCAGGAAATCTAGTAACAACAGATGCTGGAGGGGATATGGCCAAAAGGGAACTTTATTGTTGGTGGGAGTGTAAACTTGTTCAACCAATTTGGAAAGCAGTATGGAGGTTCTTCAAAAGACTTCCACATAGAGCTCCCCTATGACCCAGCAATCCCACTTTTGGGCATTTACCCAAACAATCACAAAGAAGGCTATAGTAAAGCAATCAGTACAAGTATGTTTATTGCAGCATTATTTATTTTTTTATTTTTATTTTTTGGGTCCAGTCGTGGGGCCTGAACTCTGGGCCTGAGCGCTGTCCCTCAGCTCTTCAGCTCAAGGCTAGCGCTCTACCACTTGAGCCACAGCGCCACTTCGGGCTTTTTTTCTTTTTGCTTATATGGTACTGAGGAATGGAACCCAGGGCCTCAGGCATGCAAGGCAAGTACTCTACCACTGAGCCAACTTCCCAGCCCCTACAGCATTATTTATGATAGCTAAGATATGGAACCAACCCAGATGCCCCTCAGTAGATGAATGGATCAAGAAAATGTGGTATATATACACAATGGAATTCTATGCCTCCATCAGAAAGAATGACATTGCCCCATTTGTTAGGAAATGCAAAAACTAGGAAAAAATTATATTAAGTGAAGTAAGCCAGGCCCAAAGAAACATAGGTCCCATGGTTTCCCTTATTTGCAATATCTAGTGTAAGTCTAGGACAAGCAGAAAAAGTCAAAAGCTATGTACATATGACCATATAAGATGATACTAAGTGAAATGAACCCCAAGATAGAAACACAACTTGTTTATTTTTTTTTTGCTATTGTTTTTAACGTATCTAAAATGTACTATGTGATTTTTTTGTTTGTTTGTTTCTCTTGTATATTCTTCCCCTCGGTGTAACCCCTGTTTTCACTGTATTTGACTTTGGTGCCCTGAATCTTGTATATACATTTTTTTAATTTGGAAGGGAAAAAACAATGTTTAAATAGGGATACAGGTTGACCCATTGTAACAATGAGATGTACAAGACACTATGTTGAAAACGAACTTTACAACTTGGAGAGGGGGAGAATTGGGGAGGTGGGGAGGAAAAGGATAGTAGGGGAAAAACAAAGGAGGAGGTAACAAAGATTGATAGTGTTAGGTTTTTAAAAAGAGGTAGCCGAGTAAGAACAGCACCAGCACACACGTGGTATTCAGGTAAGGGGTAGGTTTATTCAGTAGACCTGCTGGGACCAGGCAAGGTTGGCACTCCACGTGGCTGGGAAAGAGAGAGGAAAGAGCTAGAGCAGAGAGAGAGCAGAGAGAGCTAGAAAAGAAGAGCAAGAGCAAGAGAGCTAGAAAAGAAGAGCAAGAGCTAGAAATGAACAGAGAGAAAGAGAGCGTCGTCTGGGCCTGGGCTAGGCCTTATCTAGGGTATGGGCGGGGAAAGGTGTGGCCACATCAAATTCAGATGTGACCTCAGTGGATGCAGATGTGACCTCTTCCAGGTGTCCCAGTTGCCTAGGTAACGCAGGTAATGGGTGGAGACTTTGCTGCGAGGAGGGTGGAGTGTGCTAGCCATCCAGGAGCGGACCTTACATTCCAGCCTTTTAATAATCATGAAATAGGGCAGGGATTCTCTCGGGCTACTTCCTGCTGACAAGGGGCGTCGACAATAGGGGTAAAAGGCTGGAATTTGGTCTCCTCCCAGAGAAGGCTGTGAGCAGCAGCTGTCCCTTGGTGTATTGAGTCCTTAGGTGAAGTCTGGAGAAGTCTCATGAGAATTTAGGGGCTGGAAAAAAAATACTAAACAGCAAATAAATGGCAAGAGGAAGGACTTGGGGCTGAAAATGTTGGTAGAAATGTCCCTAGCTACTTCTGACATCTAGCTACTAGGTAGAGAAGTCAGGTGACAAAGGCAAGAATATAAATTCCTGTTCAGTTAATAGGTAGACAGGTATAGACATTAGATGGGCAGGCTTCTTACTTCCACTGACCTCCCGGCTCTGGTTAATTTTGAAAGGGCAGGCACAAAGTAGCTGATGTGACATTATCTCCTCTTACTCTTCTCCATGTTCCCTTGTTCCCCAGACTGGCTGAGTCTAGGTGCTCATTGCTGGGATGGCTTGTCCCAGTTGGTATTCAAGATTTGAACTCAAGGCCTGGGCACTGTCCCAGAGCACTTCTGCTCAAGGCTAGCACTGAACCACTTTGAGTTATAGTACCACTTGCAGAGTTTAGCTGGGAGATGGAGTCTTAGGGATTTTTCAGCCTGGGCTGGCTTTGAACTGCAGTCTTTGCCTCAAAAGCCCTTTATTATTTCCAATTAAAGCAACAAGGAGATCAAGTAGAATAAGTAGAGCTTACCTGGTCCTTAACAAGAATTGCCAACAAATATTCTGAAATGACAAAACTCATTAGATGTGATGATAATTTTAGCACAAATATGCCCAGTATTTTAGAACCATGTAGTCAGTAGTAGAATATACAACACAAAACAAAAAAGGCAAAACTCAAAACCTAAAATTTCAACAACATTTAGACATCTTTGCTAACAAAGCATATCAGATGGTTGGGCCTCCGTTACCAGGGCCTGTGAAAAGAGCAACTTGTTAGCAAGGCACCTTAGAATAGATGGAGTAGTAAACTTAGTGGAAGGGTAAGGGTCAGATGGGGCCAAACCCTTAACCCACCACGTGGCCAAGATGGCGAATTTCTGAAAAAATGCAAAGAAAGCCTGAACAAATAGATCAAGCCTACATTGGCTAGCCTTTGAGAGGGAACCTAGAGGGCGATCCCTGGGACCCAGCCTGCGTTGCACTCTTCAGGGCACAAGCCAAAATGTAGAAAAGAGAAAGGGAGAGATAGGGAAAGTTGGTCATGAATGGCAGAGAGAGAGCAAAGAGAGCCCGAAAGTAAACAGACTTCTGATCATTTACCATTGATTGCAGTAGCAAAAACTGTACTTCTGAGAATGGCATAAAAATGAGGCTCTCTGGCTTTCCAGGGAGCGCAGGAGACATTTCAAAGGGGCTTCACGGCTCAGGCGTGATTCGTAGCACCCCATTAAATGAGTAGAGTCAGTCTGGTGAGTGAAGGAGAGCTGACCAGGCAGAAGCGGCGTCCCGACTTCCCCCAGAGCCCTCTAGAGAGAAATGGCCAAGCCCCGAAAGCCAAGCGTCCTCGGCTTCAGAGGTGACTGGCCTTTCAGCTAAAGGCCGTAGGAGCTCTCTGGCGTGGCGCCACGTCTGGACAGAGACTGAGCAACAGAGAGCCGTAGAGTAGTTTCACTCACCAGAGTAGAGAAGTGGTGTGGACGTGGATGTGAAGGCAGCAATGGTATCGATGCGCTGATTCCGCCGCAGACAGACAAGTTCGCAAAAGGCCGTCAGAACTGTGGGTATTCCTCAGAGCAAAAAGGGAAGAACAAAAAGAGAAAAAAGAGGAAAAAAAAATAAAGAAATCCTAGCTATCCTGACTTTAAGCCTTTATCCGAGTCATGGCACCATTTATGTTAGGTTTTTAAAAAGAGGTAATCGAGTAAGAACAGCACCAGCACACACGTGGTATTCAGGTAAGGGGTAGGTTTATTCAGTAGACCTGCTGGGACCAGGCAAGGTTGGCACTCCACGTGGCTGGGAAAGAGAGAGGAAAGAGCTAGAGCAGAGAGAGAGAGCAGAGAGAGCTAGAAAAGAAGAGCAAGAGCTAGAAAAATGAACAGAGAGAGAAAGAGAGAGTCTGGGCCTGGGCTAGCCCTTATCTAGGGTATGGGCGGGGAAAGGTGTGGCCACATCAAATTCAGATGTGACCTCAGTGGATGCAGATGTGACCTCTTCCAGGTGTCCCAGTTGCCTAGGTAACGCAGGTAATGGGTAGAGACTTTGCTGCGAGGAGGGTGGAGTCTGCTAGCCATCCAGGAGCAGACCTTACAGATAGGAAATGTACTCATTACCTTATTCATGTAACTGTAACCCCTCTGTACACTATTTTTACAATAAAAACATAAAATCTTATCTGCCAAATTAGTACAGAATTCTGATTAATACTGAAAAATTAAAAAAAAAAATCAGAGCCAGGCCTGAGGACCTACTGTGTACCACGTACTGTTTTTAGGAGGTATGGATATAAAGACCAGCATTGTATTAACTGTTCTAAGGCAGGAAAGTCTGTAAGACACTTAATTTGCAATTAACCACTAAGAAATCAGAAGTGGAGCTAGGGCTCAAGTGATATAAAGCACTAGCCTCCAGCAGAAAAAAGTCAGACAGGCATCCAGGCTCTGGGTTCATGCCTCAGTACCATTATTTAAAAAGAGAAAGAAAACTGTTCCCAAATCTAAGATGGCACTCTGGAAGGTATACCATCTTGAATGGAGGTTTAATTCTATTCATTTGATTGAAAATTTTTAACAGATTATATTTTTATCTTCTCCATTTTAGCTGCCATACAACAATGGCAATCAGAAGGTAGACTAGCAGTATGGCTGCACATTCCTATCCTCCAGAGCCGATTTATTGCCCCTGCTGCCACCCTGGGCTTCCGCTTCCACCATGCAGAATCAGATTCATCAACTCTGACCCTGTGGCTGAGAGAAGGGCCCAGCAGATTACCTGGCTATGCTACACATCAAGTTGGAGTCGCAGGTCAGTCCCAAACTCCAGATAAGCAGAACTAACACGGCTGGAAGTTCATCTAGGTTCATTCTTCCAGCTCAGCAGAACCATTAACTCATTAGTGAGCTGAATCTACTTCATAAGGGCCTTCTAGTCCAGAGTTTGCATAATACCTCAGCAGGGAGCAACACAAAGGAGAAGCAAGGTTAGAGTTTGCTTTCTAAAGGATATATTGAACTTGACACAAAAGAAAAAGTGGTATAAAGTAAGCACACCAGTATTTTTTTTTTGGTCTGGGGCTTGAACTCTGGGCCTTAGCGCTGTCACTTAGCTCTTCAACTCAAGGCAAGTGCACTACCACTTGAGCCACAGCACCACTTATGGTTTTCTGGTGGTTTATTGGAAATATCAGAGTTGCATGGCCTTTCCAGGCTGGCTTTGACCCATGATCCTCAGATCTCAGCCTCTTGAGTAGCTAGGATTAACAGGCATGATCCACTGGCACCTGGCAGGCACCAGTATTTGCTGAGTGAAGGGCTGCATCTTCAAGTGTAAGGCCAGCCTCCAAGGCAGTGCTCACTCTGTTGTGAGAGCCCAGGTGCCATAGGAGACCTGCTTACATTCCAGATTGACCAACAGGCCCAGATCTACCACTTCCGGCTGTGTGAACTCCGGAATTCATTTTGATAATCATGTGATGACTTTGACAGATACTTGATTAATGCACACTAAGCACTTAGCTCAGTCCCTGACTACTTACTAGTCACAATACACACTGAGCTGCTGTTCAGTCCCTGATCTTGTTATTGATTTACTTTCATGTTGTAACCACCACGGATCATTGTGCCTGAGCCAGACATGATTTGTCTGACTTGACCTCACATTGTTAGTGAATTCATTAAGAGAAAGTTCACATGATTGCAAATCATTAAAACTTGATTTCAGGTTTTCTTGACATTCTATGTTTTGAAAAAGCCAAATTTTATTATAGTTGCTGTACTGTAATAAAATCCTTCCATCAATGTTAATTACACCTTACTGGTTTTTTTTTTTTCCTGCTTTAAAATTCAAAGTCTGGATTTTTATTTCAGTATCATTCCAGTTGCTTTTTTTCTTAACTATGCTGGTCCTAGGCCTTGGACTCAGGACATGGGCACTGCCTCTGAGCTTTTTTGCTTAAGACCAGTGTTTTACCACTTGATCTACATCTCCACTTTGGTGTTTTGGTAGTTTATTGAAGATGTCTCTCACAGACTTTTCCTACCTGGACTAGCTTGGAACCGTGATCCTCAGATCTCACCTCTTGAGTATTTAGGATTACACTCGTGAGCTACCAGCACCTAGTCCAGTTGCTTTATCTTTGGTTTCAAATGCCTAAGACTATTTATCACTTTCTGAGAGTAACTCATCTGGTTTGTCCCCAGTCCACAAACATACCAGAATGTGAGCTCATATAGTAGGAAGTTAGGTTTACCACCACATCCCTACAAACTAGAAATGTGCCTGACATAAAATGAGTTCACTTAAAATACTAACGACACATATACATATGTACACACACAACTCAGTACTGAAAGAATGGATGAATATGTACAACTTATCTTTTCACACGTAAGTACATACATGTTTAAACCAGCTCATGTAAAGGAATCTTAACACAAATCATTAAAGTGTTTAGTATTTTTGACCCAGTATTTCCCAAAGGAAAATAATAAAAATGAGATGATAGAGAACACCTTATTTTTTGGTTATGAAAACTAGCAAACATAAAGTAAAATCCACTGTGTATATCGTAGATGAATAAATGAAAAACAGTGCACTAAAATCTAAAATATATATAAAGTCTTCCAAAGCAATCAATGTTATAAAACTATATATATGTTAAGGAAATTTACTTAGCTTCTGAGAGGACTTGGAAGTAAAAATTGAGAAATGATGGATTGTTGGAGAGCACATACTGGGTGCTTTGCAGTGACTCAAAGAACAAGGAGAACAAAGACATCAGTTCATTTATTCAGTACTTTTTGTGTTCCTTTGATAGTACTGGAGCTTGAACCTTGGGCCTCAGACTCTCATTTGGCATTTGCACACAAGGCTGGCAATCTAGTACTTGAGCTCCACCTCCAGTTCTGACTTTTTGCTGGTTAATTGGAGATAAATCTTGTGAATTTGACTGGTTTTGAACCACTGTCTTCAGATCTTTGCCTCTTGAGTAGCTAGGTTTAAAGGAGTGAGGTATTGATACCTAGCTATTTAATGCTTCTAAGTGTTGCTATGGTCTGAATGTTCAAGCTCCCCCCCACCAACCAAAAAATTCTTACTTTGAAATATAATCCCCAATATGGCAGTATTGAGAGCTAGTAAATAGATCAAAAGTGCTGAACCCTCATGAATGGAATTAGAGCCCTTACTAAAAGAGGCCCTAGGGCTGGGAAGGCGGCTCAGTGGTAGAGCGCTTGCCTTGCATGCCTGGCCCTGGGTTCAATTCCTCAGCACCACATAAGCAAAAAGAAAAAAGCCAGAAGTGGCACTGTGGCTCAAGTGGTAGAGCGCTAGCCTTGAGCTGAAGAGCTGAGAGACAGCGCCCAGGCCCAGAGTTCAGGCCCCACGACTGGACCCCCAAAATAAATAAATAAATAATAAAAGAGGCCCTAGGACAAGCCAGGTATCAGTAGCTCATGTCTGTAATCCAAGCCCCTCAGGAGACTGAGGGATCACAGTTCAAAGCCAACCAGGGGAGGAAAGTCTTTGAGACCCTTATCTCTACCAAAAAGTTGGAAGTAGAGTTGTGGCTCAAGTGATAGGGCTCTAGCCTTAAGCAAAAATCTCAAGGCCCGCAGCCAGGCCCTGCGTTCAAGCCCCAAGACTGACACCAAACAAAGCCCTAGGAGCCTTTGTTAGCCCCTTTCCAGCACCTGAGAACACCGATAGAAAGCCCTGTCTGCGGAAACAAGCCACTCCCAGACACCAGATATGCCCGCACTTTGCTCTTGGACTTGCCAACTTTTACATTTGTGAGAAGCAAAACTGTGTTGTTTTAAGGCCACATAGTTTATAGTATTTAGTTTAGAAACCTACGTGAACCACAAAAAGCACTGAAAATTGAACACTTAAGAAAGTGCTATAAAAGGATATAGAGTAATTTATTTGAGCACCATAAAGGCTAGGCAATATAAAATTAGTGCATGATTACTCTACAAGTTGGGGTATGCTGTAATTATTGTTATTTGGAGTTGTTTAAGAAAAGAAACAAACTGGATGTCTAAATAGCCACTGCCTTGCTGGAGACATAGGTCCTCGTAGCTGATTTGACCAAGGCCTTCAATCATGGACAGGATTTTGATAAACACAGGTATTTATAGGAGGCATCAGTTAAGTGAGATTAACAGTTTTTCAATTGTCTTCTATTTTTCTCCCAACAGGAGCTGTATTTGATGAAAATACTAGGAAAGTACTAGTCGTACAGGATCGAAATAAAGTAGGTTGTTTCTGCCTTATACATTGCTTTTCAAATGGTCTGTTCTTTCTAGAGTAAAAGAAAATATAGATATTTTGCTATGACTAAGGGATTTCAGAAAATTTTAAGTTCCTGTTTAATCAGCTATTGATCACTGACATACAAATGAAAAAGAATCTACAAACCTGAGGCTGTCTAGGAAATGTAATGTTGGTAGTGGTCACTATTTCTGGCTGTAGGGTAATTATAGATGTGTGTACTTCATTGGGAAAACAAGTGTCTCATCCACTATCCATTCAGTCATTCACGGGGTTCCTGCTCTGTTGAGTGATCTGAGAGTGCAAAAATAAATAAAACAATATCCCTGTTTTTCTGAAGCTCACTGTTATTTGAACAATCATAGAATAATAGTAACCATTAACTTTGCCTTAAAAACGCTAAAGAAGCCAGGTGCTAGTGTCTCACGCCTGTAATCCTACTTAGCAGGCTGAGATCTAGGATCCCAGTTCAAAGCCAGCCCAGGCAAGAAAGTCCATGACTCTTTTCAATTAACCACCAAAAAAATCAGAAGTAGAGCTTTTGCTCCAAGTGGTAGATCAAAAAAATTCAATCCCAGACCCTGAGTTCAAGTCCCATGACTGACTGGAAAAAAAAAAAAAGAACTCCTGAAGACTTTTCAAAAGAGATCACACTTAAAACTGAGTCTATACAACTAAGTAGAAACTTTCCAGGTTCAGGAAAAACCAAAAAAGACAGAAAAAAAAAAACTGAGAAAATGAGAACTGCATAAAGGCAGATAGTTCAGAACAAACCTGGCCTATGGTAGAAACAATGGTGAAAGGTTCATTGTGGTGAGGAGTGCGGGGAGAGCCAGGTTAAGACAGATGACAAATGCCTTCTATATCTGTGCAAGGAGTCTTGGCAGTTCTAAGCAACAAAGATTTTTTTTTTTTTCCAACAGGTAGAAAACTCATTTATTAACAGAGAGCAGCCCTTTTTAAAACCAAAAAGGGCGGGTGGCATGGCAAGGGAGGAAGAGGAACCAATCACTGTCAAGGTCACACCCTATCATGCACCTAAGCCTTCACGGGCTGATCGTAAGGCAAATTGGGCTCTGCCCACTCAACTCCCTCTCAGCGCCATCTTTGCTGCCCATGTGCTCTACAGATTCCCCCTTTTTTTTTGTTTTAATGGCAGACCGACCTCCCAGTTAGTTATCCTTTTCCCTCCTCTGTAAAGGTTGTTTTAACAGGATTACATTGATAAGGATAGCATTGGCTACGCAGGGGGTTCGAGGCAAGTCTGGGGGTCGAGATTCGCCAGACTAGGATAGGGAGGGTCCTTGTGCATGATCCAAGAGCCCATCCCAGTTACCTCACATCCCCACCTGGCACAGTAATAAACATCAGTCAGTAACAAAGATTTTTAAGAAGTATGATTAGAGACCAAAGATTTTCTTGCTCAGAAGTTATAAGTAAAAGTGAAAGAATACATCTTTTGGCTCAGGTTTGTTTGTTTATTTGTTGCTATTGGTTTTGGTGATTTCTGGTTGACTTGATAGGTTGGATGGTTTTTGTTGTGCTGGAAATCAAACCTAGGGCCTTGTCCATGGTAGGCAAGTATGTTGGAAATGGTCTAAAAATCGAGTAATTTTTGAAGTTTAAGGTAAGCCAAGATCTCTGACATGAAGCTTTTTATTGCTAACAAAAATGTATAGAATACCTGATGTAGTATTGTGCCTAGCTATCAGGAAGAGCTTTTGTTATTGTTGCTTGCTTGCTTTTGTGCTGGAACTGGGGCTTAAACTCAGGGCCTTGTTTTTTCACTTGGCTTTTTCAATAAACTCTGGTGTTCTACCACTTGAGCCACTGCTCCACTTTTGACTTTTTGCTGGTTAGTTGGAGATAAGAGTATCGTAGACAGCCTGGGCTGTCTTCAAACAGTGATCTTCAGATCTCAGCCTCCTGAGTAGCTAGGATTACAGGTGTGAGCTACCACCACCTGGCACTGTTAGTAAGTTTTATATTTGAATGGAGCCTGAGTAGATACATTAGGTAGGAAGGACTGGCGAACAGGACATATGACTGGATCATCATAATTGGACTTACTTATAAGACCCCCTGACAGCCTGTAAGGTGATCTTACACTTGACAAGGCGATCTTACACATGCTGACATGTCTTGATTATGAGGACAAATGATAAAGATCACATATAAGCAAATTAATGTAACAATATTAAAATTAATTTATCAACCATATATAAAATGAAAAGGAAGTTGATAGGAATAAAACTGACTAGTCAGACTGGCCAGATTTCTAATTTCTATGCCACTTTGGTTTTGGCAAGTCTTGAGTTTCAGAGTGTTCCTGTTTAAAATCTCAATACCTCTTTCTTCAGAGAAAGGATATAGGACCTGCCTACATTGCTGGTGAATTTTTTCTACTAGATTCATACCTAGTACTTGAAATACATGCAAATAGAAAGGACTTATATTGAAATAGGAAAGAGTGCTGAGCACAATTACCTTAAGCACTGTTTTAATGATTTGTTCTCTGACTTACACTAATCTTATGGCAATAGATGACAGAATGATATACAGAGTTTTTTATTTGTACAACAAAAAGCCAAGAAAGGTCTGTGCATTTTCTTGGTAAATACATAATAAGTAAGGATGTCTAATGACTAGAAACGTTGCAGTCTTAATAAACTACCCATCAAACTCAGAAGTAGACTTGCATACATAAATGCATATATTTTTCCAGTCTTAGATAAATCATGCAAGACAGTTTTCCCTTTGTGGACATGTTACTGAGTGTAAATTATGAAAATTTTATTGAATCTAGTTTATACAAGTTTTAATGGGGCTGGAGGTGTGGTATGCTTAGCATACTTGAGGCCATGGCTCAACTCCAGCACACAAAAATTTGAGCTTGGGGATTTAGATCAGCATCACAAAAAAAAATTAACTTTAATCTAATATGATACAATGTAATGTAAAAAAAAAGTTAGGTGCTGGTGGCTCATGCCTGTAATCCTAGCTACTCAGGAAGCTGAGAGATGAGGATCAAGGTTCAAAGCCAGCCCGGGCAGGAAAGTCCACGAGACTCTTATCTCAGGAGCAGTGCCCAAGCACTGAGTTCAAGCCCCAGGGACTTGCATAAACTAAGTAAAATAAAATGTACTTTTAAAAGTTACCATTAGAACAGTCAAATACATTTTTTAAATTGGTCATTGACATTTAGCTAAGTAGACTGTACACAGGAACCATTTGGTATTCAGAAGTATAAAGCTTTCTCTTTCCTAGGTGAATCCATAAAAGCTAAGTTTGATGTGTATAAAGAATTGTGTCAGCTAGGCACCAGTGGCTCACACCTGAAATCCTTAGCTACTAAGGAGGTTGAGCTCTGAGGATCATGGTTCAAAGCCAGCCTGGGCAGGGAAGTCTATGAGACTCTTCTCTCTAATAAACCACTCAGAAACTGGGAGTGGAGCTGTGGCTCAAGTGGTAGAGTGCTCGCCTTGAGCTGAAGAGCTGAGGCACAGTGCCCAGGCCCAGAATTCAAGCCCCATGACCAACCAAAAAAAAAAAGAAGTGTCAATAATTTGCCTCTTCATAAATGTATAACTACCCTAATAATTACCAAAACAATTAGAGATATAGTTCCAAATCAAGAAATACCAGAATTAACCATAGCTAAGATATGAAACCAACCCAGATGCTCCTCAGTAGATGAATGGATCAAGAAAATGTGGTATAAACACATACACACGCGTGCACGCGTGCATGTGTGTGTGTGTGTGTGTGTGTGTGTGTGTGTGTGTGGTGTGTGTGTGTATACAATGGAATTCTATGCCTCCATTTCTTAGGAAATGCAAAGACTTGGAAAAAATTATATTAAGTGAAGAAAGACAGGCCCAAAGAAACTTAAGTCCCATGGTTTTCCTTATTTGTAATAACTAGTATAAGTCTAGGACAAGCAGAAAAGGTCAAAAGCTATGTACATAGGACCATAAAAGATGATGCTAAGCAAAATGAACCCCAAGATAGGAACACAAGTGGTTTTATCTTTCTTGCTGTTGTTTTTAGTGTATTTATAATGTACCATGTGATTTTGTTTTTGTTTCTTTCGTATATTCTTCCCCCATGGTATAACCCCTATTTTCACTGTATTTGATTCTGGTGTATGTAAGTTTTTCTAATTTGGGGAGGGGAAGAGAAATAACAAAATGCTGAAATAAGGATACAGGTTGACCCATTGTAAATGAGATGTACAAGACACTATGTTTAAAATGAACTTTTCAATTTTGGTGTGTGTGTTGGTGGGGAGGAGGAGTTGGGGAGGTGGAGAGGGAAGGGATAGTAGGGGAAAAACAAAGGAGGAGGTAACAGTGCTGGATAGGAAATGTACTCATTACCTTACTCATGTAACTGTAACCCTTCTGTACAGTGTTTTTGTAATAAAAATATATACAGAAATATTTTTAAAAGATTTATAAACAGTTTAAGAAAAATGTAAGTTAAAATCAATTTATAATTACAAAAATGCCTACAGATTAGATTAGAGATGCTTAACCCTTTGGCATAATTAAAATCATGGTTTTATTCTTTTAAAAAAAAAAACAAACAACAGAGGGGCTGGGAAGGTGGCTCAGTGGTAGAATGGTTGCCTTGCATGCGTGAGGCCCTGGGTTTGATTCCTCAGCACCACATAGGCAAAAAAAAAGCTGGCAGTGGTGCTGTAGCCCAAGCGGTAGAGCACTGGCCTTGAGCTGAAGAGCTGAGGGACAGCGCCCAGGCCGAGTTCAGGCTCCACAACTGACAAAAATAAATAAATAAATACTAGAATTTAAAGTGGTTCAGTTATTTCACATTTCATTCAGTTTTTGATGTTATATATTAATAAACTCATTATTTTTGGAAATGGGCTTATAAAGTAGTGATTGAAGAAAGGCAGACTTGATCCTTTTCTTAAGCCTGTTTTAAGGCTTTTACTTTTTTGTTCAGGAAGTGTTTGCAGGG